CATGTTTGACCAGTTCTCGCTGACCTCAGATAACGCGCTCGCTGTGCCCCCATGCGGCATGATGGACACCAGAGCCTCTTCACCCTGGAGCCCGTGGACACCGGCTTCTCAGGGAACTTCAGCTGCTACGGTTGGTACAACAACACCCCTTACGTGTGGTTGGCCCCCAGCGATGCCCTGGAGCTCGTGGTCACAGGTAGGTGCCCCCCAGTACTGTGGTCACAGGTAGGCGCTTCCCAGCCTTCGTGGCCATAGGTAGGCATGCCCCAGCCCTCATGGTCACTGGGTGGTGCTCCCCAGCCCACCTCCGGCGTCCTCCTGGAGGCGGATTTGAGCACAACCAATGATTGTTTATCTTCTGTGATTTGTGTCCCTTGGCCGCGCACCATGAACCAAGATTACATTGTGGAAAATCTGATCCGAATGGGCACGTCGGGGCTGGTCCTCGTGGCTCTCTTGGCCCTACTGGCCAAATAGTGGCACCCGCCTGTGGGTGCCAGGCGAGGCAGACGGCAAACACCAGAGTAAACAGACACACCAGGCAGCATAGAGCTCTGAAGCCACTGTGGACACTGGGCCCCGAAGCAGACGTGACCCAGCATGTCTGGAGTCCTGACAAACCCAATGGAGAATGCAAAGGGCAGAGAGTTGCCAACAGTCGTTCAGGGTCACTGAGCTTGTTTTCAAGCCAATTGAATATTATTGTATCATGTGAAGCTGATATATTTGCCCCCCACCTGCCTGGACATTGGCGATAAAACCCTTGCTGTGTAGTCTGGGCTTTGTTCATATCCTGCCATAAAAGTAGCGCGAAGCATTCTCCAGTCACCTGCTCACCGTTCTTTACCCTTCCGCTCCTGGAGTTCTGACTCAGAACTCGGCTTTGCTCCTCCTTGAGACCTTAATGTTTAAGATTCCATTAGCCATTACTGCTAATAATTAATGATGGATACTGTGCCTCCAGGCACATGCATGTTGTCCTTCCCTCCCTGGCTTGCTTCCCATAGCAGAATGTCCCCAAGGTTCATCCAGGAGGTCTCAGGTGACAGGACTCCCTTCTTCTCCACAGCGAACCCCACTCCGTCCCCCGGAGCCCGCCCTTCCCTTGGTCGACCTAACTTGGGTGGACATGGGGGGTCTCCCCACCTTCTACCTACTGCAACAGTGCTGCCACAGACACAGGCTTCCTGACATCCTGATATTTGCTGGCATTGAGAATCACCTTCCTCTGCCCAGGGAGCCCTGACCCCAGAGGGTCCGGCCTCCCACTCAACTCAGCTCAGTTCTGCCTGTCTCTCCCTGGCTGTGCTTGCCTCCTCGCGGCCACCTGAGCAAGCCCTTTGTCCTGACTTCAGCTCAGGTCTGTCTTGTCTGGATGGATCGCAGATACGCTGGGGAGCCGGTTGGTGCTTCCCCAGCACGGCCCTCAGCCGGTGCTCATGGGCCCAGGGTGAGACAAAGCCCAGAGGCTCCAGCCGCATCCTGGGAGTGCTCTGGCGGCCTCCCCGGGCCCGGACCTCCCTCTGCCATGTTCTCCACAGAGACTTCCCCCAGCTCCCCACCCAGCAACATGCCCCCCATCCACAGCAACCCCCTCTGTGTGCAAACATCCCTTCTGGAGACTTGCCCAGAGAACCTGGCTGATGGCAAATCTTTGGCGACAGAGACAACTTTCTCGAGACAAGCCCCAGGAAAGTGAGCAAGCCACGTGCACAACTGGCATTGTCTAATTCAGGCCGGGGAGCTGTCACCAGGTCAGGCTGGTTGCTGCGTGGGCAGCAGGGGAAGAGTATGGTTACCTGTCATCACCAGATCCAGCGGGTCACTGGGCTCTGTCCAGAGCCCCCTGCCCCCCTCCGCAGCTGTACTTCCTCGAGGTGCCTGAGGTGCATGGCTGGGATGTCGAACCTGGCTCTGACCCTCACTTCAGGTGGGCTGGGTCGTGCCACCGACCGGCGCAGTGGTAGATTAGCAAGGCTGACCCAGGGATGAGAGACTGAGCTAGGCGGTCAAGGATTCAGTAAAAAATGACAAACAGACACACTTCAAGAGTGAAGATCTGAATGTAATGTGCTCAAAATCACCATACACTTTTATACCTTTTTTTTTACAATGGATGATTTCATACAAGTTAATTTTTTCTCAGCATGAGATGTTTAGTAATACATAAGACATCTACTTCATCATTCAGGTACATGTGATCGATGTTCCATGGCATGGTACACTAAACAATCGCAAGGTTCTGATTACAGGAATCTAAATCTACACAATTATTTTTGCTTACACAGAACAGCATTTCTTTAGTTAGTTTTTCTTGTTTCTTTTCCAATACCACTAATAATCAGAAAGTATTAATATTTAACTACTGTTATATTTTACTTTTCGTGATCACGAACAATGTTTTTTCTACGTAAGCATTTATTTTTTGTGGTATTGACTCATGTGAGAAGCATTTTGATCATTCTGAAACTGCTTTTACCACACACTATTTTCTTCATCATGCATTTCCTGAAACTGATTTCACACATATATAGAAAAAGTCAAGTAGGTAAGAAAATAGTATAATTATAGACTGGTTGCTATGTTGCTTCTTATGCAGGAACAATGACCAACTGGTTAATAGTTAAACCGTTTTGTTGGTGACTCCATCAGGCTTGTTTGTAGGCGACGCTCTGCAGCAGCCATGTTCTCAGCCAAAAGAAGGGGTTTTTGACTGCGGGCTTAATGCCTGGATTAGGCTTACAGGCCTTTAGACATTTGTCTGATTTGAACGCCAAAGATTATCATAATGAAGCCCCTCGGGGACTGCGCCTGTCTTAGGTGGTCAGGAGTCGCAGACATGCGGCTAGCCAGTGCCATTTCTAGTCTGCCCCCGATCTTACCCGTCATTGACTGTCCAGTCCAGCGCACAGGGGAAGGGGGTCTTATTTACTTGGATTTACTATGTGTCCGAGTGAAAGCCTCCCTCTTTCTAGTAAGTTCACTGGCGTTCAGCGGCAGAGGCAGCCGCAGGGTCACACAGAAGGGGTTGCACAGGGAGAGCTGTCCCTGGAAGTGCAGCTGGTACTCCATGGCCTCGTGAGCTCCCTGGCACCAAAGGGCCACTGGCTTTCCCCTGGGGATCTTGAAATTGGGCTCAGCCCAGGTGGTGGGTTTGGGGAATGTCTCTGGAAGGGAATCAGAGTCTGGAGTTCCAGATCAGGCCCTTCCCAAACTAATCCCCACCAGCCTCTGGCCTCTGGCCTTCCTTACCAGCCAGAGCCCCTGCTCCTCTCATTGTTCTCAGGGGGAACCTGGATCTGAACCTAGAAGGGTGACTCTGGGGCTTTGCAGGAAGGACTCACACATCTGGGTGCTGATCCTCTGGCTCAGGTGCAGACCTGGAAGACAGGAATCTTGAGATGTGCTGCCCACCGCATGTGGACCCTAGGTCCCACCTCCCCCTAGGGCAGGACTCACTGACACAGAGCAGGGCAGTGAGTAGGGAAGGCATGCCGGGGCATGTGCCAGGCTGGTGTCCAGACAAGCGGGACTGAGCCCACGAGCCGGAGGCACCCAGGATGTGGTGGGTGAAGCTGCCATGGGGCTTTCACACAGTGCAAGCAGGTAAACAGCTCCCCACCACCCCTGTCTCTGACCGCATCTGTGGGCTAACCAAGTCCTCTGCCAACTGTCTGCCCTTCCTGGAATGCATTTCTGGGTCAGTTTCTAAATTTTGAAATGTGCACTTTATGTCCAGAAATAGAGAAAAAAAAAATCTAATCATGCAAAACCGTTTGACCATGGTCAAAATGGCTGGGAGAAGACATTTACCCACCATACATCAGAGAAGGGGTAAATGCCCCAAATATATAAAGCCACTCATCTAATTCAACAACAGAAAACATGTAACCCAATTTAAAAAATGGGCAAATGAGTTTAATAGACATTTCACCAAAGAAGATCCAGATGGGCCACATATTTATGAAAAGATGTTTTATCACTTATCATGAGGGAAATACAAATCAAAGACACGATGAGATTTCACCTCACACTGCTTAGAATGGAGATTATTAAAAAGTTAGGAAATAGGGCCTCCCCGGTGGCGCAGCAGTTGAGCGCTGGGCTGCGAAGCTGCCCGCAGCCTCTGTAGCGCGGGTTCCATCCCCGGCCCCTGGCGAGGGTCCCACATGGCGCCCAGACCTCTCCTGCCACCCGCTGCTCCCCTCAGCAGTGTACTTTGTCATTCTGCCTGTTCTGCTCCCCACTCTGGCTCTGGTGAATTCTCTCACCCTCCCGCGCTTCTGACTGTACCCAGTGCTTGTTTGAATAAATAAATAAATCTTAAAAAAAAAAAAAAGGAAATAACAAGATTTGGTGAAGGTGTGGAGAATAGGGAAAGCAAGCTTGTGGATTGATGGGAACAAAATCTCCCCAGCGGGCGTGCTGGGGGCGCCACGGGCGCGGCGCGGGGCCCGGGTGTCGGGGCGCGCAGGCGTCATCGCGGAGCCCGGCGGGGGCGCTGGGGGCGTGGCGGGGCGGAGCAAGGCGCCCTCGGCTTCTCCAGCTCCGCCTCCTGCGGCCGCGGCGCCCGACTCCACCTGCGTCCAGGTGAGGCCGCGGGGGCGCGGGCCTGGGCGCGCAGGAGCTGCTCGGCCCGCGACTCGCGCCTGGTCTTGGGTCTGCGGAGGGCGCGTGGGGCGGCGCGGGCGGCCGGGGCGCGGGGGCCGGGGGGCGCGCGGGCCCGGGGAGGGAACCAGGCGCGGGGCCCCGCGGGCTCCAAGCCGGGTCTTCTCTCCGTCTCCCGCGGCGACTGGACGTGAAGGGCGCGGGCAGGAGCCACGCGGGGGTCTGAGGCTGTGGCCCCAGCTTTCAGGGCGCCGGGAGCTGAGGGCGGGGCTCGTGAGGTCCCCAGGGCCAGGCCCAGAACTTTTGTTCAGGTGTTTCTTTGTAAACTCTCTCTCCCTCTGCATGTTTCCAAGCTTTGCTTTAAAATCTCTCTGACTGACAGGAGCCCTCATGCCGGCTCTCAAGGAGTGTCTGACGCCAGGCCGGTTGGGAGACCCGCCCTGGACTTGTAGCCCTGCCCGTCCTGCGATGCAGCACTCTCGGGGGATGTTTTCCGGCAAAGGACCAGCCTCAGCGGATGGCATTGGCGGCCAGGTAATTCTCCGGCCTGTCACCTGTAGGGTGTTTAATTGCAGCAGATGTCAGTGGCACCCCTGGCCCCAGTGATGGCCCCCAAAAGTGTTTCCGGAGACGGGAGGCAGAGACTCCCCTTCCCCCACTGGGAACTACGGGGCCAGAGGAGATTGGGGCCTGCCCGGGTCCCAGAGCAAGATCTGGGCGCGTTCTCAGGGAGACCCCAGAAGGCCGAGATCCAGGATGGCAGGTGCACCCACATTCATTTCTGCTAGAATGGTCCACTGCAGGCTGCCCCTTGCGTGTGATGGAAGGTTCCAGTTCTTGCCTCTCTCTTCTCAGATGTAATGGTCACCACCTCCTGTTTATGATGAAGGTTCCCCCTTCAGCATCATTGAAATTGGGGGCTGGGTCATTCTTTGTGGGGGCGTGAGCGGCTCGTAGAATGGGTGTTCAGTAGTCTCCCTGGTATCCACACAGGTGGATGCCTGGAGCGCCCCCTAGTTGCAACAATGAAAATATTGCCCAGAGTTGGCAAATCATCCTCAATCAATTCTGCTGTTTCGTCCCCAAATTCCCTAAGACTTTAATTTCTGCACAAAGGGAGCTACAATACAAGCCACAGGCATTACAGTCCGATGGACGTTGGTTTCAAGACTCGGTTGGCTTCTTCGAGGCTATGCCAGATCAGGCCATTGACTCTTCTTGTGTTTATAGATACAACAATATGACTTTTGCTGGACCATTTATAAGTTTCAGCCAAAATGTATTTAATATATTTAGTGGAAAGGTCTAACCCAGATTTTTCAACCTGTATGTTTTTATGGGAGATAGGACGAGACAATATAGAAGATGGGAAAGAAACAGTATATAAAGACTAAATTTTTCCCCAAAATTTCTGAATCCTGAGCAGCATTAAAAGATAAAGCAAATAAAATGAGAAATAAACAAAAGGAGATGTATACCTAAACAGAACAGTTCCCAAAAAGAAAGTCTAAAGAGAAGGAACTGTCTTGACAACAGTCAGAATGCCAGGAATGATTGGCTACAAGACGTGGTGGTCAGACCCAGCGCAGATGCGTCTGCAGAGAGGGATGAGAAGTGGCCACTGTCAGTTGTATGCCAGGCAAGTTATTCTTTTTTTTTAATTTTTATTTATTTTTATATTATTTTTTATTTTTTACATCATTGTTCATTTTTAAACAATATTTGCTTCCTCCCACCCCCTCAGGTGTAGTCCCCATAGTTTCCTTCACCAATGCACCCGTGCACCATCACCTCAGTCTCCTGTGCTCCTCCCTCCCCCCCATCCCTCTCTCGCCTCCTCCCCTGCAGGATGTCTCTGATTTATAATTGTCCATTTTTGCTTTGTTGTGTTTTGTACTGTTATTATTTTTTTACACTGATGTCTTATTTGGTTCCCCTATATTCCTGCTATAAGTAAAACCATCTGATATTTTTCTTTTTCCTTCTGGCTTATTTCACCGAGCATAATTCCTTCTAGCTCCATCCACGTTGCTGTGAATGGCATGAGTTTATCTTTTTTGATTGCTGAATAATATTCCATGGTGTATATATGCCACATCTTCTTGATCCAGTCATCTGTTTTTGGGCATTTGGGTTGTTTCCAGGTTTTACGTATTGTAAATAGAGCTGCAATAAACATAGGGGTACAGGTGTTCTTTTGAATAAATGTTTTTGTGTCCTTTGGGTAGATCCCTAGGAGTGGGATTGCCGGGTTCTATGGTAGCTCCATTTTTAATAGATTGAGGAAACTCCACACAGCTTTCCATAGTGGTTGAACCTGTTTGCACTCCCACTAGCAATGTAGGAGAGTTCCTTTTTCACCACATCCTCACCAACAATTGTTGTTGCTTGTTTTTTTGATATGTGCCATTCTTACTGGTGTAAGGTGGTATCTCACTGTGGTTGTGATTTGCATTTCCCTGATTATAAGGGATGTTGAACATTTTTTTCATATGCCTGTTGGCCATTTGCATTTCCTCTTTGGAGAAATGTCTTTTAAGTTCTTCTGCCCATTTCTTGACGGGATTGTTTATCTTGTTTTTGTTGAGTCGTGTGAGCTCTTTGTATATCTTTGTCATTAGTCCCTTATCAGTTGAATGGAGTGCAAAGATTTTTTCCCAATCAGTGGGGTGTCTCTTCGTTTTGGTTAATGTCTTTTCCTGTGCAGAAGCTTTTCAGTTTGATGTAATCCCAGGTGTTTATCTTTTCCTTGACTTTCTTTGCTTTGGGTGATGAATCTTTAAAGATGTTATGTGATATGTGTCTTGTAGTGGTTTACCTATATTTTCTTCTATTTATTTTGTGGTTTCAGGTCTTATGTCCAGTTCTTTTATCCATTTTGAGTTGATTTTTGTGCATGGTGAAAGGTAGTGGTCTAGTTTCATTTTTTTGCATGCGGTGGTCCAGTTTTCCCTGCATCATTTATTAAACAAACTGTCCGTGTTCCATTGCATATTCTTTGCTCCTTTGTCAAAGATCAGTTGTCCATATAAGTGGTTTTATTATCTGGGCTCTCTATTTGCTTCCATTGGTCTGTGTGTTTGTTTTTGTTCCAATACCAAACTTTTAATTATTATGACTTTGTAGTATAGCTTGAAGTGATACCTCCTTTCTCCCTTGTTTTCATCAGTAGGGCTTTGGCTATGCATGGTTTTTTGTGGTTCCATATGAATTTCATCAGTATTTGTTCTATTTCTTTGAAGAATGTCATTGAGATTTTTATTGGAATAGCGTTGAATCTGTATATTGCTTTTGGTAGGATGGCCATTTTAATAATGTTAATTCTTCCAATCCATGAGCAGGGGATGTTTTTCCATTTTTTGTGTCTTCTTCTATTTCTTTTAACAGTGTTTTATAATTTTCTTTGTATAGGTCTTTCACCTCTTTTGTTAGGTTTATTCCCAAGTGTTTGATTTTTTTTTGTTTCAATTATAAAAGGGGTGGTTTTCTTGATTTCTTCTTCTTCAGATTGATTGTGTATAGCAAGCCTACTGATTTTTGTGTGTTGATTTTGTATCCTGCTACTTTACTGAACTGGTTGGTTATTTTGAGTAGTTTTTCTGTGGAATTTTTAGGGTTCCCTACATATATTATCATATCATCTGCAAATAGTGATAGTTTTACTTCTTCCTTCCCTATCTGGATTCCTGTATGTCTTTCTCTTGTCTTATTGCCCTGGCTAGGACCTCCAGTATTATATTGAAGAGCAGTGGTGAGAGAGGATATCCTTGTCTTGTTCCTGATCTTAAAGGAAAGGCCTTCAGCTTTTCACCATTGAGAATAATATTGGCTATGGGTTTGTCGTATGTGGCTTTTATCATGTTAAGGTATGTTCTTTCTATCCCGAGAATTTCAAGGGTCTTCATCATAAATGGATGTTGGACTTTGTTGAATGCTTTCTCAGCATCTATTGATATGATCATTTGGTTTTTAATTTTCCTTTTGTTGATGTGTTGGATTACACTGATCGATTTTCGTATGTTGAACCATCCTTGTGCCCCTGGTATGAATCCCACTTGATTGTGGTATATTATCCCTTTGATGCATTGTTGGATTCTGTTGGCAAGGATTTTGTTGAGGATTTTTGCATCAGTATTCATTAGGGAGGTTAGCCTGTAATTTTCTTTTTTTGTGCTCTCTTTGTTGGGTTTTGGTATTAGTGTAATGTTGGCTTCGTAGAACGTATTTGGTAGTATTCCTTCTTTTTTTAACTTTTTGAAAGAGTTTGTGTAGGATAGGCACTAATTCACTGCTGAATGTTTGGTAGAATTCATTTGTGAAGCCATCTGGACCTAGGCTTTTGTTTTTGGGGAGTGCTTTGATTACTGCTTCAATTTTGCTGCTTGTAGTTGGTCTGTTTAGGTGTTCTATTTCTTCTTTGTCCAGCTTTGGATGATTATATCATTCTAGGAATTTGTCCATCTCTTCTAGATTGCTGAATTTGATTGCATATAAGTGCTCATAGTACTCTCTGGTTATTCTTTTGATTTCTACTGAGTCTGTTGTGATTTCTCCTCTTTCATTTATGATCCTATTTATATGTGTTTTCTCCCATTTTTTCTTTGTGAGCCTGGCTAGAGTTTTGTCTAGTTTATTTTTTTCAAAGAACCAACTTTTGGTTTCATTGATCTTTTGGATTTTTTAAAAATTTCTATTGTGTTTATTTCTGCTTTGATTTTTATTATTTCCTCTCTTCTACTGGCTTTAGGGTTTTTTTGTTGTTCTTTTTCTAGCTCTTTGAGATGTGAGATTAGGTTGTTTCTTTGAGTTATTTCTTGTTTCTTGATGTGAGCCTGTATTGCCATATATTTTCCTCTTATTGCTGCTTTTCCTGCATCCCATACATTCTGGAAAGTGGTGTCCTCCTTGTTGTTCAATCAAAGTATTTTTTAATTTTTTCTTTGCTCTCCTCATTAGTTCAGTGGTTTTCCAGTAGTGTGGATTTCAATCTCCATGAAGTAGGAGGGTTCCTTGTTTTCTTTTCATGATTTATTTCTAGTTTGATGCCTTTATAATCAGAGAAGATAGTTGGAATGATTTTGATCTTCATATATCTATTGATTTGTCTTGTGGTCCAGTATGTGATCTATTGTGGAGAATGATCCATGTGCACTTGAGAAAAATGTGTACTCGGATTTTTTTGGGTGCAGTGTCCTATAGATGTCTGTTAAGTCCATGAGTTCTTTGTCTTTATTCAGGGTTATAGTGTCTTTATTTATTTTTTGTCCCGTTTATCTGGCCATTGGTGACAGTCTTGAAGTCTCCCACTATATATGTATTTTTTTTAATGTCTGTTTTCAGAGCTGATATATTTTGTCTAATATATTTTGGCACTCCTTCATTTGGTGAGTATATGTTGATGAGTGTTATATCTTCCTGATGTATTGTCCCCTTGATCATAATGTAGTGACCATTTTGTCTCTTTTTACTTTTTTTAATTTGAAGTCTATTTCATCTGATATAAGTATAGCCGTTCCTGCCTTCTTTTTTGGTCCATTTGCTTGTAGGATTGTTTTCCAGCCTTTTACTTTCAGTCCGTGTTTATCTTTTGTGATTAAATGTGTTTCCTGGAGACAGCAGAAGGATGGATTTTGTTTTTTAATCCAGTGTGCTATTCTGTGTCTTTTTATTGATAAGTTTAATCCATTTACATTTAGAGTTAATATTGATATGTTGGCATCTATATTTGCCATTTTGTTTGTCTTTTTTGTGATTTTATTCCTTGCTTTATTCTGTACTTCTTGATCATTCCTCTGTTGGTTTTGGCTTTAGGACTTGTAGAATTTTTTGGAGTGGGGGCTTAGTTGTAATGAATTTCTGGAGTTTCTGTTTGTCTGAGAAGGTCTATATTTTTCTTCATAGAGAAAGGAGAGCTTTGCAGTGTACAGTATTCTTGGTTGGCCTTTGCTGCGGGCAAGTTTTTCTTTAAGGCTAAGCTTACAGACAAAACTAGCAGGCAAACCATAGATCTGAGACATACATCAGGGGAAAAAGAGGGGTCAAAGCAGGGGAGGGAAGAGAGGTGGTGATGGGAGATTTATTGGGATTACACTGAGGGGAGGAATCAAATATTGTTCAAAATGAACAATGATGTAAGAAAATTGTTGGGGGAAGAAAAGACTAAGCTTTAAATAGTATGGAGTTTTCTCAAGATCTTAAAAATAGATCTACCAAATGATCCAGCAATTCTATTCCTAGGATTCTGTCCAAGAATACAAAACCACTAACTCGAAGGGATCTCTGTACTCCATTGCTCATGGCAGCACTATTTACAGCAGCCAAGTTAAGGAAACAACCTAAGTGCCCAAGGACAGAGAAGGGGATGAGGATGTGATGTGGATACACTGTGGAATACTACTCGGCTGTAAAGAAGAACAACTCTTGCCATTTGTGACAGTGTGGATGCAGCTGGAGGGGATGATGCTAAGTGAGATAAGCTAGAAGGACAAAGACAAAGGCCAGATGGTTTCACTCATATGTGGAATATAGAGACCAAAAGGAATGACCAAACTAAACCAAACAAACCCTTTAAGTCTGATATAGCACTGAGGCTACTGGAGAGGGAGGTTGGTGGGGCAGAGAGCAAAGGTGGGGAGGGGGCCCAGTGAGTTAGAGTGGGGGACTGTGGGTACTCTGGTGGTGAGTGTGGTGGGGTGCCATGCACCCCTAATCATATAGTACATAAACCATCATCACCTCAAAAAAGGATATTTTTAAAATAATGTTCAGCCAGGGCCCTACCTGGTGGTACAGCGGGTTGAGTGCAGGGCTGTGAAGCTGTCCGCAGCCTCTGCAGTGCCAGTTCGATCCCCACCAGCCGGCGAGAATCCCATATGGTGCAGCAGACCTCTCCTGTTGCGCCCGCTATTCCCCTCAGCAGTGTATTTCTGTCATCTGCCTGTTCTGCTTCCTGCTCTGTCTCTGGTGAGTCCTTTCACCCTCCCGCGCCTCTGGCCTGTACCCCAGCTCTTATATGAAATAATGAATAAATCTTTAAAAAAAAGAGTGTTCAGCCTCTAAAAAAATTAGATTTAAAAAGACATCTTTGTCTGACCTAAAAGTTTAGAACATGGGGTTTTATATCCTTAGGATTATAAAACAGCAGATAAGAACTGTTGGGTGTAAGCTTCACTGAATAAAATGTAATCCTGAATCAAGAAGTAAAGAATTTTTTTGTCATTTAAGCTTTCCACTTAAATAATTAACTATAGTTAATATCTGTATGTTATAATCTGTAATAATTTCACCCTGAATCATTTTTTTAAAGATTTTCATTTATTTATACAAGCACTGGGGTACAGGCCAGAGGCGCGGGAGGGTGAGAGGACTCACCAGAGACAGAGCAGGGAGCAGAACAGGCAGATGACAGAAAGACACTGCTGAGGGGAGCAGTGGGTGCAATAGGAGAGTCTGCCACGCCATGTGGGAATATCCCTGGGCCGGGTGGGAATCAAACCAGCACTGAGGAGGCTGCGGACAGCTTAACAGCGCTGTGCTCAACCCACTGCGCCACGGGGGAGGCTCTCACCCTGAATCATTAACCTTGATTTCATAAATGAGGTTTTCACTTCTCCATATTAACCTTCTCAAAAAGGGGTAATGCAGCTTTCTGCTAAGCTTGGTGGAACTATTCATTGAGGAGTGAGATTATTCAATTTGTCGGTGCCTGGGGGTCTGTGCGCAGTAATTGGGGATACGGAATTACTGTTATTTTAAGCTACTGACAGTTTCATGATGTACTTCTTTCTTACATCATTGTTAATTTGGGGACCATATGTGATTTCTCCCCTCAGGTATGGTCACCGAGTTACCTTTTAAAGTCCCCTGTGACTTACCAGCAGTGGGTTGTGACAAATGTAGGGAAAGGCTGATTTCCATGACAAAGGGATAGGAGGGAGAGCCAGGGAGAAAGAAAGAGAAGAGAGGAGTGTAGTTGTTGGTGGTGTGATGTCGTGTCTGCAGATCTTAATGTGTGTATCTTTATACAGGATACCTAATTAACATTATAAACCCATGTAACCTTAACTTTTACCTTAAAAAGGACTTTACCTTTTAGTACCCTCATAAGAAAGAACAGGCATTGGCATCGAATGGGTATGCAACTTTTGAAGGATTTATTGTAGCCCAGGGCCTGAATGCCAGGACTAACTTCTACACTAATGAACATGCGCCCCAGCCCTCCAAGACCGAGGTCACAGGCCTCCACATTCCTCAGGCCCCACAAGGTGGCGAATGCTGCCCTGATCTCAGGCGTTCAGGAGAGGAAGTCACAGCATGAGTACCTGGCTGTCCCAACATCACCCCATTCGATGTCACTCCACTCGACCTTCAGCCAGGGGTTGCTGTCCTTCACTTCTCTCAGCAGCGCCTGGATGTCCATGCTGGCTGGGTACATCCGGCTTCAGCCTAGAGATTGGGGAATATGGGTGATTGCAGAGGACCCGACTTTGTTGCCCAGCTCTATACTCTGAGCCACAGAAGTGCCCAAAAACCTATTTCTGGGCACTCGTCATAGGGAACATTTTTTTAAAAAAGATGACTTGGACCCACAAAGTAGGGTTTCACATAAATATAGAAAAATCCACCAGACTGAGAGACAGAACATGACCATGGGCTGGCTGTGGCCCCATCTTTCTGTGATTGCTCAGTGAGGGGGAGCCTGGTGTCTCTATCCATGATCTAACCCTGCCTCCTGAACGTTTCTCAGAGCTCCCCACCTTCAGCAGGCCACAGCTGCTACCAGCTGAAGAGCTGAAAGTAAGAGAGAGAGGCACAGAGCTCCCCAAACCAGCTGACCTCCACGGGAAGTCTGGTCAGAGATAAGAGCTGTAAGTACCTGCAATGCAACTGCGTCATAGTACACTTGGATGTAATGTACCCCCATCCCCCCTTTATGAGGAAGTGGGGTGATGATGGTAGGGGGTGATGATTGTGGTAACAAGAGACAGAGCAGAAGTAAACCCTAAATCTATCAAAGCATAAAAGGAACCAGGCTTGAGTTAGCCACCCTGGCTCTTGGTGGTGGTTTAGGTCTTGGTCTTACTAGCAAAAGAAGCCTGAGACTCGCCATTCAGGCTCTGTGATGGGTCCCCCCAAAACCTTAACTCACTTTGAAAAGGTGTCATAGCAACAACCAGTACACCCTTGAAGGAGACCAGTTCCACACAGTCTCACAAACATCTGAATATTGCATTCCTTGACCAAATATGACTGTTGGTCTTTTCATAAGCCAAGGTAGGGTCTTCAAATAGAGGGAAACGTCTCCATCGCGGCCCTGTGCGCTCCACTGAGCCTGCAGTGATATGCGAGGGAGGAGGCTGGAGTGTCAGAGATCACACTCAGCTGAAAACTGCACCCCATAAAGAAATACCCACCGAGACGGGGCACCTTCTCTTACCTGCCCCAACCCCCGACTGGAGGCTGTTGAGACAGCGTTTGCTCACCTGGCCTTTCCCTCCAACCCTCCCTGCCGTGCAGCACCTGGAGTTCCACTGTGTCTAGAGTTCCCTGCACTGCACCTCTGCGCCCTATCGCAGCCAGGAGCACAAACACTCCTCCCCAAGGACCGCTGTGTGGCCACAGCGGACAGTGTTCTGTTCAGGCCATCCCTTACCCACCGCTGCAAGGAGGTGGAGAAGCAGGCGCTCCCACCGAGATGAGCAGGTAAGCCAGATGAGTTGCATGGCGGTCCAGGGCCTGGATATATGCCTCTGGGTATATGCAGGGTTTTGAAAGCAACCCTTGAATGCTTGCAAATGAGTTGCCATGGAGCCAACCCCTGTGGGACTCCAGTGCCCTGCAGGTGGCTTTGCCTGGAGGGAAGGCAGAGCCAGTTTGTCTGAAATGGGGCTAAGGGTGAACAGGGTGGGGGGCCAGAACACGCCCCAGAGGCGCTGTCCAACAGCAGAATGAAAGCAAAGGCGGCTGAGAGGCAGCATTAGCTGCAGCCCGGGTGCCACACCCACAGGTCTCCGCCTTCCCAGATGCTCCCTCGCCACAGATATTTGAAGGGTGGGGGGATACAAACCTACAGTTCCCAGGGGCACACATTCTCCTTCAGCCTCCTGGTGAGCGCGTCGCATGTGTGTTTGGGGCCCAGGATTGAGAAGAAAGGCGGTTCCAGAGCGCAGGTGGAAGACGAACGGCAGGACAGGGAGCCCCAGTGAAGTTAGTGAGATCACAGGGACACGTCTGGTCTCAGGAGACCAGGACCTTCCGATATCATTTACCTGCTGTGACTCCGTGTGTCTCCTAGAGCCAGGTGGGCGTCATGGGGTAGAAACCATACCGCCCCGACACACGTGAGATTAACATTAGGAAACAAAATTATATGTGGAGTCCCTGGCAGCTGCACCTCCAAATGTTTCTCGTCCTTTTGAAGAAAGAGCTTGGCTTGAGGACCTAAAAGAATCTAAAAGTCTCAAACCAGAAAGGATATTATATTGAATTAGAGCAATTGGATAACGACCTAAGTAGGAGTGCGGAGTAGTCTTTATAACGCTTAGTTATTCTACATGTCCCACAGATAGATGCTGACGTGAATACTTACTAACACTAAGAGAATTTTCTGAAATTCATGTCTCTTGGTGATCATTAATATATATTTAAAACAGGCCTTCCCCCCCCCAAAAAAAAAAAGCCCACATCAACCTTTAACACTTGAGAAGTTTTATGGCAGAGACTCCCGGTAACTACTGGACAGAGGAGCGAGAAACAGATGCTGGACTCAGAACTCGCCTCCCTGGCTGCGGCTGGCCTGCAGCCTGGGAGGATTCCCTGCAGAGGAACCTCCAATAAAAGGAATTGCTCTGCTTGTCTGAGCTCTGTGATTGGCCGAGGGGAGCTGGGTGGGTGGGTCTTCCTGACCAGGTTGGAATGACCTGCTAATTTACCAAAGGTGCTTCTGAACCTTAATAGGAAGGTCACACTGAAGTTACCTGGGCTATGTCCTCCGCGGTCCTGGAGGAACAGGTCTGGGTTGGGCTTCAGGAAACCAACAGTTTTCCTGAGCTCCCGGGTAGCTCCTAAGTGCCTCTGTTTCACAGACCACCTGGGCCAGGATACTGGAGCTCAACAGTGTTGACATTTTGAAGTGGAGGTTGCTTGGGGGGCTCAGGCGGTGGCGCCCCGTGTACTGGAGTGTGTTGTCAGCATCTCTGGTCTCCATCCCGGTTCTGACAAGCAAAATAGTCTCCAAATATTGTCAAATACCTCCTGAGAGGTCAAATTGCCCGTGATTGGGAACTATAGTTGCAATTGGCTGCCTCCTTCCATCAAACCAAGGATATTGAAATGCATTTGTATTCTGCTAAATAAATAGGTCTCTGTTAATTGAGTAAATAGGTAAGTGGATAGATCATAACAGTCAAGTTCGTCAGTTTTGAGTTGATGGTGTTTGTTTTTGTTGATATTGAAATATGTATTCACAAGACTTGTATTGATTTTTATGAGTATTAAATTTTATTCATTTTTTTTTGCTTTTGAAAAAAAATTGAAAATCTGTGACACTCCAAACCGGGAAATAGTCTACAGCTAGAAAAGAAGGAAGAAAGAACTCAACAAGCTTGGATGACATTTTGGAGAGGGATTTTGTTTAGGTTTGGGGGGGATTGTTTGGTTTGGGATTTTTCTCTCTGACTCATTTATCTTCAAGATTATAGTGTTTGTAGTGGGGCAGAGAGAGAGAGAATTTTAGACTTATTTAATTTTGACACTTAGGAAAAGTAGGGAGAAGGCATATAAAAACAATGCATCAAGGTAAAAATGTCCATGTTTAAATCATGTTATAACAGTAATAGTGGTAATAATAATGGGCTTAGCTATTATCATTAAAACAATATAATAGTAATCATTAATTATCATTATTATTATTAAAACATAAACTTTAGTGATGGTTGTGGTCTCCATGAGGGGAGGGGGGAGGTCAAGGAAGATGTCATGGCCACCACCACCTCAATCCATATCCCCAGTGCCCCCAAGAGCTGCAGCACCCATTGCCCCCTTAAATGCTCATGTCAGCCCAGGACATTGGGCAGCTGTGGAGAAGCTGGTCACCCTCCCTGGGGCTGTGCAGCTGGGACCATGTCAGCAAACTTTGCAAGAACATCACAGTGGAAAGGTCAGTTGGGGCAGGTTAAAAGGAGTTTGCGTCCTTCTTGAAAAGAGAAAGAACACTCGCCCCTTCATTTTCCTGGGTTTCCCCCTAAATGTCATTCATCTGTCAGTCATCACAACCCTCCACAGCTGCTCCGGGGCCAGGAGCCATCCTTCTCTCCCTCCCCTCTGGTAACTGCCATGTTTTTCAGTCTTCAAGCTATTTTTGGTGTGTTTTACTAGTTTGTTTGCTTATTTTTATTCCACAAATAAGTGAAACTCCCCAGTAATTGTCTTTCACTTTCTGACTTATCTCACTTAGCAGAATCAGCTAAAGTCCCATCTATGTTTTTCCCAAAGATATCACTTCATAGTTCTCTTGGCTGAGCAGCAGCCCCTTGATTATATATTCTGCGGTTCCTTTATCCATCCCCTGTCCAAGGGTGATTGTTGGTCGGTCCCGTGTGTTAGGAACCGCAGACCTGGGCTGGGGCGGAGCAGGAAGTAGTAGAGCACATGGCAAATGGCCCTGAAACAGAAGCCCCGGGATTGCTGCTAGCACAGGGCATGGGTGGGTTAAGGACCAGTGGCCTGAAGCCTGCAGGCCAGCCCCAACCTCCAGCCGTGTCGCCTGCTAGGACAAGCGCCAGGCCCTGATAAAGTCAGCACTGGCTGTGGCTCCCCTGGGTCCACCACCAGCAAGGCCTCCTGACCTCAGCAGAGGCCGGGGTTTGCTTTTGAGATGATTAAGAATCATAAAATGGAAGAATCTGGTTGGCATTTGACCAGCTCCAGTTAGACAGCTGAAATTGTAAAATGGAAGCATCAGGCTTAAAAGGCCAGGAATGTAATTGAGGCTCCAGACATCTAGAGACCCAGACTCATGGAGACCTTTTCTTGGCAAGACCTTGGCAGACAGTCATTGGGAAGATGTGTGCAGACATCCTGGAAAGAACTACCAGACTGTAAACCTCCCAGAACCTCCCTTGCCTCTAATTTCTGCATCCAACTGCAGCGTAACCACTGCTCCTGCCTCTGCCTGCTCTTATATATATATAATAAAATGTTGACAAGGATGAGGTGAAATATGTAGTCTCATTTGTTCCTGAGAAAAATTGAATTAGTATCTCTTCTGCAGAGAACTGTGAATTTAGTATATTTATACTGCTTGATAAATCTTTCTATTTGGGGGACATGGCCTAAGGAAATGCTTGGAAATACAGATAAAAACCTTTATGTATAAAAACATTCACCAGCATTTTCTTTATAGTAGCAAATAATTGGAAATGGAAATGAAAACCCTAGGTTCTGGTTAAATAAATTACGGTATATACACAAAAGAAATGTAACAATTGATACCAAGATTCTGAAGGTTTTTTTTTTTTTAAGATTTATTTATTTATACAAGCACAGGGTACAGTCAGAAGCACGGGAGGGTGAGAGAATTCACCAGAGCCAGAGCGGGGAGCAGAGCAGGCAGAAGGACTGAAGGACACTGCTGAGGGGAGCAGCGGGTGGCAGGAGAGGTCTGCGCGCCATGTGGGACCCTCGTCTGGTGGCCGGGGATCGAACCGGCGCTGCAGAGGCTGCGGGCAGCTTCGCAGCCCAGCGCTCAACCATTGTGCCACCAGGGGAGGCCCATTATTCTGAAGTTTTTAATGATGTGAAAAATACTTCTGGTATAACGTTAAATGAAGGTACAATATAAAATTCTAGAGATAATGTAATATCACCAAAGAAGGAAAGTATCAATGAAATATGATGTCGTGAACCCTTTTGTGTGTAGAATAAAATGGAAAAATTATTATATTGCATCACGTGGGATATTATACAGCAGTGAAAATAATTAAGTTCTAGCAATATCCAATGATGTGGACTAACCTTGCCCACATATTGTTTAGTGAAAGAGTCAAGATATACAGTAAACATAATATGATTTGATTTATTTCAATTCTAAATACTAGACAAAAATGAAATCATGTTTTAATTATGCATTTAGTGATACATACTTAGATGATATATTAAAATGAAGAGCAAAGGAAATAATTTTAATGAAAGTCATATTGGTGCTTCCTTATGGAGGAAGAAGATTATGATATGATGTGATTTGATATTTCTCGACCTGGTTAATGGGAGTTCATTTTGTAATTCTCAGACTCTACATTTGTACCATCTACACTTATACACAGGTGCTATATCTCACAATTTAAAGTGTTGGGAAATACTGGGAATAAAATAAGCTAGCTCATGAAAGTATCTTTTGATGGAAGAATCATAATCGAATACTGTTCACTGTGGCTTTTACTACTTTTCAAATTTTCTATAATGTACACACGCCCTTTTATGACCAGAACCGGTCAGCTAAAGCTCCTGAAAAACCCTGGCCGAACGCCCTGCCCCTGCCCGCCCGTGTCCATGAAAAGCAGCCGCTGAGGTTTCTACGCCCGGAGAACTCCGCGGGCGTCCGGGCGGCAGCATGGGCTTCCCGGCGCCCCCAGGCTCCCCGGAGCAGCGGCACCTGGAGCCTCAGTACCCAGGTGGCCTCAATTTTTAGTGCGGGGTTTGGGTTTCCGGGCTGAGCTCACGCGCCCTGAAGTTTTACATCCAAGCAGGCGCGTCCCGCCGTTACCGCCCCGGCGTCGGTGGACAGGCCTCGCGGCGGCCACGGCGCCCCGCCCCGCTCCAGCGCGAGTGTCCAGCCTGGCCGCGGGGGCGTGGCCACCGGGAGAGGCTCCGCGCTCGCCCCGCCCACCGCACCTGCGCGCACCTGCGCGCACCTGCGCCCCTCTGCCGCGCATGCGCCCGCCGCCCCTCGCTCCTGCCGCGCCAGCTTCCGGGGACTTGGGGTGAAGTCGCGGCGGGGACCGGTCCCCAGCGTCCGGCGAGGAGGCGCCCTGTGCGCCCTGGCCCGGGGCTTCGCGGCGGGGGCGGGCGAGCAGGACCGGGCGGGCGAGGCGAGGCCGCGGCGCTGTGCGCAGGGGCCGCCGGGCCGGCGCGGGAGGGCTGGACGCTGACACCGGGGGCTCTGGGGCTCATTTGGCCCTGCGGGCGCACCCGGGTCGGGGCTCCCCTCTGTCCCGTGGGCTGTTTTCACTCCCGCGGGTTTAGGGTGGAGTTTGGGGCGCACGTTGTAAACTTTCCGGGCTGAGCCCCCTCTTGCCCCAGGCCCAGCCGCGGAAGGGCAGAGCCGGTGCCCAGGTGTGCGCAGCTCTGGGCGGTGGGGGGTTCCCCGCCTCCGCCCCGAGAGGAAGTCCCACTTCACCCCACTTCGCCCCACTGTGGCCCCGCTGTAAATAGATGTGTGCAAATTGGAGCTTCAATACCTGTTTCCAGTTGTTTGGTGGTCTCAGGCCTGGAGGACCCCACTGGTGTCGCCACCTTCATGCAAGGCCTGCCCGCCGGCCCTATCTTTCAACGCCCTCCCTGCACACTTCACTCCTGCTGTTCTCCACCCTCTCTTCCCTGCTGCCCTCACTGCACCCCCAAGGCCCTCCCTGTCCCCTGCTCTTTTCTTTCTCTGTCCCCAATGTCATGAACTGAAAGTGCAGCTGATTCGCAAGCCCCACTTCCAAGTGGGGACCCTCCTATCATTGGACGTCTCGGCTGGCGCGGCTCCTCTCCCCAACAGTGCAGACAACTTGCTGACTTCATGACTTTGGGGGCCTGGAGGCCTTGGTGGAAATGATGGTGGGTACCTGAGGCTGCTGGTACCCAAAACTCAGCCCTGACCCCGAGCACAGCATCGCCCTCTTCTCTGGGAGCTCTGTCCTGTAATCCCCCAGGTGTGTCAACCACTCTTTCCTGCACGCCCCGTCCCAGTAGCTCTGTGAGTGCTCCCTGAGTCCAGAGCTGCCCCAACTCTGATTCCAGACCCCGCCCGGGCAGGAGGGAGCCTCTAGCCGGGAGCCGAGACTTTCGCGCAGGGGAGCAACTCCCTTTGGCAGAAGCTGCACAACTGAGAGCGGCGAATCTGAGAGCCCCGCGTGCCAGGTCGTGCTGGGTGAGAGTGGGAAGGGGAACCGGGCCTGCAGGATTCCTGAGGTGCAGCGTCAGGTCACTGGGAAGAGACACGGAGTGGCCCCCAAGCAGGACGGGGGGGAGATCTGTAGAATTGTTGTGATCTCTATAAAAACCTTTTTCTAAGAGAAAAACTCTGTACCTCCAGCTGGAGCCATTTCTCTTTTGCCTGAAAACGCTCGTATAATCGATTCCGTGACGTATTTTCTGTTTCAGGCTAATTAACAGCGCCCTTGATGTTCAGGAAGCTCAGGGTGACCAGGAAGCTCGGGTAAGTGACACTCAGATGCGAGAGCTTTGATTACGACGCATAAATGAAAAAAGAATCTGTGTTAATAAAAACCGTGATCAATGTTGTCATCGCCTCTGAAGATAATCTAATTCCTGGCTCCACCACACAAGTATCTTCTCATTTTGAGAGAAATACTTTATCCCCAAACTGCAGTGAAATAAAATAAATTGCATACAGGGAGCGAGTCCCCCCTGGACGTGTTACTTTTCCCTATTGTGGAAAGAGCATCAAAAAAACCACTTCGGTGTTATTTTTCTGAAAGGACACACTAGCTGTGTTGGGGAAGACGGAAGGCTGTCCCTGCAATGAAGCGTGTTTATCACATTGTTATGACGCCGGGAGCTGCCCCAGCGGCCCTCGCCGGCCTCGAGCCGGGTGCTCCTGCCGCGCGC